TCTCCCCGCATCTCCCCACATCTCCCCACATCTCCCCACACCTCCCCACACCTCCCCCACATCTCCCCACATCTCCCCACACCTCCCCACACCTCCCCACACCTCCCCACATCTCCCCACATCTGCCCACACCTCCCCACACCTCCCCACACCTCCCCACATCTCCCCACACCTCCCCACATCTCCCCACATCTCCCCACATCTCCCCACATCTGCCCCACATGGTCGGTGCCCACTCCCACAAACACACACCCCCGGGCCCAGCTCGCACGCGCGGGCAGTCGAGGGCGGACAGCACGGGCAGAGATCGGACTAGTCAGACACGTGACACGGGCAACGCCGAGTCCCGCGGCCAGGCTAGCGCGACACCGCCACCACGCGTGAGCTCTAGGTGCCTACTCGCAGTCGGGCGTCTCGTGCTCCGTCCGTTCTGCCGACTCGGCCCCGTGCGACGACATTTCACCTTTGCACCCCTCCAGCCTCGCCGCCGCCGCCGCCGCCGCCGCCGCCGCCGCCGCCGCCACCGCTCATCGCGACGCGAGCGGCCGTTCGTTCTCTGCCCCTCCGCCGCGCCGGGCGGCGGGGCCATCGGTGGCGAGACCGCCCGCCCTCGCGCCGCCGCCGCAGGGCGACATCGCGGCGAGCTTCTCAAGGCTTGCCTCGCCGAGCAAAGGAGCGGCCGGCGGGCAGGTGGGGTCGGCGTCGCACGACCCGCCGCCGCCGGCGTGGCACGGCGGCTGTGCGACGCCTCTCCAAACGTCGTCGGCGGGAGGCTCGGCGGCGGCGGCGGCGGCGGCGGCGGCGGCGGGGGTTTCTCTGGGCGGGATGGGAGCTTCGGTCGCATTGGGCGCTGCGGCGGCGTCGGGCGCGGCGCCATCTGGCGACGTTCCGCGGCCGCCGTCGCTGCGGTCTTGCGGCGAGGGTGACGCCGGCCTGCCGATCTCTCCGCTCTCTCCCTCGGAGGTCGCCGAGGTCGGCCGACTCTCGTGTGACCGAGGGAAGTGTCTAGGAAGTGTCTAGGAAGTGTCTAGGAAGTGTCTAGGTCGCGCGGCTCTCGTGTGACCGAGGGCCATGCACGGGCGGCACCGCCGTCTGGCTGCAGGGCGAGCACTTCACGCCGGAGCTGCTGGTGCTCTTCGGCGACGTGCCTGCCAAGGAGGTGAGCTACGTGTGCCCGGAGCTGCTCACTTGCGTCGCCCCGCCCTCGGGCGACGACGAGCGCAGCCGAACCGTCGACGTGCGTCTCGTCTCGGCCGTGTCTGGCCGCGCGTCGCGCCGCCCGCTCCCTTTCCACTACCGAGCCCAGTCCGCGGCATCCTCGGCGGCGGCGGCGGCGGCGGCGGCGGCCGGAGGACGGCCCGGGTCAGGCGAGCTGATCGAGCGCCTCCTGGCCTCCCTCGAGCGGGCGCAGGCCGCCGCGGCGGGCGGCGCGGCCGGCGCGGCCGGCGGCGCGGGTGGCGTCGGCGGCGGCGGCGGCGCCTCGGCCGCGTCTCACGCGTCGGTTTTTCACACGGTGAGGTCGTAGTAGTCGTAGTATAGCAGTAGTAGCAGCAGCAGCAGCAGCCGCAGCAGCAGCAGCAGCAGCAGCAGCAGCAGCAGCAGCAGCAGCAGCAGCAGCAGCAGCAGCAGCAGCAGCAGCAGCAAGCAGCAGCAGGCAGCAAGCAGCAGCAGCAGCAGCAGCAGCAGCAGCAGCAGCAGCAGCAAGCAGCAGCAGGCAGCAAGCAGCAGCAGGCAGCCAGCAGCAGCAGCAGCAGTAGTAGTAATCTTCCAGGCTCGGGGCAAGGGCAAGGGCCAAGGCCAGGCTGTTCACAGCAAGGGCTGTGAATAGGTGGACGAGCACGGGCACACGCTGGCCGAGTACGCAGCGATGTTGCGGCGCCGCCGCGCCTCGTACCGCGAGGAGGCGGAGGAGGACGCGTCCGAGCTGCAGGCGCAGCACCGCCAGCTGGCGCAGCTCCGCGCTGTCGAGCGCCTCTCGGCGTCGCTCGCCAACCGGCCGTCGGAGCAGGCGCTGCTGGAGCGGCACATCTTGCGCGGCGACGAAGAGCCCGAGCTGCTCGCCGCCAAGCGGAAGCGGCTCGAGGGGTTCCTCGCCGGCCGGCCGCCCCCAGAGGTTGTGGCCGTCCCGCCAGACGCCGCGCCGCCGGCGGGGGCGACCTTTGCGGGCTCGAGTCTCTGACGACGTGACACGACACTCTGTGTGGTATTTTATGATCGGACCCGGGGGCGGGGGGCGTTCTCCAGGTGAGAAGGGTTAGCGGCAGGCCAGAGAAAAGTAATATCTTTACGGCTCTACCTAGGTAGAGGGGGCGGACCGTGAGTTGAGGAAATCGGAGGACGCGACCCACTTCGCCACAGACGGTCCCGCGCCTCGCCACTATGACGGGCACACGCCCCGCACCGTCCGCTGTGTGCCCGTCTTTGTCCGGAGTGAAAAGTCCAACGCGCTCGTCGGTGGCGGCTTCCTCCAACCTGCGCCGCGCTCGGCGAACCTCGACAGCGCTTTCGGTGGCATGCAGCTCTTTGCGACAGAAGCCTGGAGAGCAGCTCCTCTGCTGCTCACACACTCTGCACAGTTGGCACAGCCTACTGTGCGGCTGTCACAGCTGTGACAGCGATGGGCTCGCCCTCACTGGCCCTCAGTCACTTGTGCTGCGGCTTGTGTGAGCGACACTGCTCGGCGACTGCCGGCACACTGTGAGACCGTGGGTGTGAGGTAAAACCACGCTACCAGCGCTTGGTCACATCGGCCCTGAGGTCAGATCCTTCTACTCTGTTGATGACAACACTTGTCTACTCGCTGGAGCCGAGCAGGAGGGCCCGGCGCACAACCCCTGGTCAACTCACGGTCCACACCCTCCAACACCCCCGGACCGCGGGCACGTGCTCCACCGTCGCAACTCGCATCCACATGCCTCTCTTGAGCACTGGATAGGGTCGATTCCGCATGATATGGGACCCCTCGGTCGTCTCGCCCTCCCTCGGCTCGCTCGTGTGTTCATTTGGGGAGGGGGGGGGGGCATAACAAACACGGTACAGGATCGAGGTGCACGCTGCGGAGGCAGTGTCGTCCCCCCTCTCCATCATCTCACTCTCTGGGAGACGTCGGTCGGCGGTGGTGGCGGTGTCTGTGACCGATCGAGCTACAAGAGGAACTTGTTCAGCAGGATCCGGGATGCCTCTCTTGCCAAGTAGAGTGTTCCCCACTTGCCACTACGCACTAGCGGCGCGAGGAGTCGCTCACATGGCAGCAGCATGGCCATGGGCCATGAACCATTTGGGTTGCCCATCCCCCCATCTGAGGGAGGGTGTAGAGACTGTAGAGTGTGCGCTGTAGAGCTGTAGAGATGTTCTGAGCTGTAGAGCTCTACATCCGGCCCGGGACGATATGTGAGTCCGATGTAGAGCGATGTGGCGCTCTCTACAACGATCAACGTGAAATCTCTACAACAAACTCTACATCATAAGCGGCGAACGAAGGCACGGTCGCTCTCCGACATGAGGCGCGTTGCACTTGCCCGTGCTGGCTGCTGCGCTGGCCTTCTGTCTGCCCGCCCAATGGGTGGCAGGTGCATCTGCTGCTGTGGCATGCCTCACGGCTGCGACTGGCCGGCGCCTAGCCTCTTTCTTGTGCCCCATGAGGGTTTAACAAAACTATTACATGAGTGTGGTCCATGAGCAGGCGGACATCGCTTCCAGGGAGGGGGGCGCACTTCTCTCCACGCCCCACCCCCCCCCAGCATGTGGTGAAGCCTCACCCCCCCCCCCCCCTCCCCTAGCATGTGGTGGGCACCCCCCAGCTGTTCGTGGGCTAGGAATAGGCGCCAAAGAGCCGATTTTGCCCCCAAAGTTGTGAAATCGTGGCTGAAAGTCCAATATCTTGGAGAATCTGACCAGGACGCCTCGCTGAAGGAGACTCGAGACGGAAGGCTAGCATCGTTCGGGGGATGGGAGGGCGTGCAGCCGAAAGAGGGAGATGACGATACACAAGAGACCAGGGCACAGATTCACGAGCGAATAGGACGGGGAATATGGGGAGGCGCCCTGCCGGGATCGTGGGAGATTGTCGACGCCGAGATGTACGCCATTTACAGCTTCCTGCGCACGAAGGCGGACGAAACAGAAACGACCCTCCAGCCTCACCGATGCCTAGTAATGTCGGACAGCGAGACGGCGCTCAAGGAGATCGAACGGGCGTATCGGGGGCGGACACGCGGCGAGACAAATAGGAGCGCACTCAATGCGGCGGTGCAAGCACAAATCGACATTATACAGCGCCACGGAGGGTACGTGATTTTCATCTTCACGGAGGGGCATGCGGGCAACGCGCCCAATTCCATGGCGGACGCGGCGGCAAAGGCACACCTGCGGAGCAGGGTAACGAGCGCGTACGAGATGGACCTAGCACGACACGTGACGAACAGGGCATGCATCTACATGCATGAGGAGGAGGGGCAGGCGCCGGAGATCCGAGACAGGAGGCTGTATCAAGAAGCGAAGGAGAAAATTGGGCGGTGGGTACGAAAGCGGCTGGACGGCGGGCACGCAGCGCAAAAGGGAGGAGACGACAACGTGTGGAGGACGGTAATCAAGGCGACGGGGACGATATCAGGCGACACGAGATACGAGGGAGACAGAGAACGGGGTCCAAAATCGACCCAGCGCCAGCCCGAGGCCTGCGGGGAGAAGGCGAGGCTAAGGCTGGTACACGGCATGCGGACGGGACAGACCCGAGGTATAGAGCACGGGAGGCGATGGAGGGCCAGCCTAGAGGCAGAGGCGTGGCAGGACGGGTGGGACGAGGAGGGAGGAGGAGCATGTGCCGATGGGGCTGAAGGTTGCTGGCATCCTGGATGTTGCAGGACAATAGCTAATTCTATAGTTTACGTCAACAGAACGCTTTTTTTCCGCCGTTGGAGCTCTTAGCGTCCGGCCAGACAGACGCTGCTGGGAGCTCGGCTCAGAGCCGCTCGGATCTCTGAAGTGGGGCGGCGTTCACGGACATTTTGCGCTGGTTTTGACGACCTCTAAGAGCAGCTTAATCAGAATCTTCCTGCAGCTCCTCAGCGCACTGCTTACACAAGCACACATCATCGTCGAGATCTGCTACACGGAGGTACCGTTCCATGCACAAGGGGTGCAGCAGACCGTCGCAGCGGTGGGAGTTGTTGCAGCGGTGCAAGCGCATCTGTGCGCTCCCACTCTTGCTGCAGTACGAGCACACTGGCGCCTCGCGCCGCCGCGAAGCTCGAGATCTCGCCGCGGACGAAGAGGGCCCACCATGGTCTCCCTCCTCCTCCTCCGCCTCCGCCTTCTCCGCCTTCTCCGCCGCTTCCGCCGCGAATGACCGCGCAACAGCCACAGCCGCGTCCACCGCCGTGTCGAAGTAGCCAAGCACTTGTCCCCGCGATAAGCCACAGCCGCGAAGCGCCCGGAAGCGGCCAGCACTGTGCCAGCACCGCGTTACCCCCCTGACCCCCGTGT